GGCACCGGGGAAGACGTCTGTTCTGCGCCTTCTGCCCGTCCCGTGGAGGCTGGTTGGCGTCCTCACCGGCGTTCTGCCCCTGTCTGGGGCCGTCTGCGGCCGCCGCAGAGTCGTCTTCGGGTGGTGTTCAGTGCCGGCAGCCCTGGGCCTGATCAATGCGGCTGCCGTCACCACCTTCGCCGCCTTCTGGATGTCCACCTACTCGGCCAAAATGTACCATTTCAACAATTCCTTCATGTCATTTTCGCTGGATGGTGTTTTGAACTTGACCTTAATTATATCAACATGGAGTATTTTCTTGCGAGGCAAGAAGCTGGCGATGGCATTCCAGAAATTTGACGAGGCCCTGCTGTTTTGCAACATCAACGATATATCCGGCCTATACAGATATGGAGTGATTCCCGGCTTTCTGCTACTCTTTGAGTTTGCGATCCAGACATGGAAAGCGGTGCATATCGGCGGCGCGTTTTCCACCGGCGGTGATACGGTCACCTGGATAATCATCAGATCGTATTTCGGAGTCAGCATGCTCAGAGATGCCTCCCTTCTAGCGGTCGCCACACTTTTCACCAAGGCTATCACCCAGGCTTTTGAAACAATCAGCACTAACATTGAAAATTTGCTGGCCTGCAAGCCTCAGCTAACGGGCCCGAAGCATCAAGACGGTCTCAACGGCTCGCTATCAGCAATCGACCTATCGCCTGCACCTGCTCGAAAGGTGCTCCGTACTCCTGGCGTGCAAGTCGCTCTCCTGACGGTCCCCGCAGCTCCCGCGGCTGCCACCCTGACCGAGGAGTCTGGGCCCTCGCCGGCACGGCTGCGGGCGCTGCACAGCCGCTACTGCGCCGCTGTCAGCGCCGTGGACGCCTTCAACTCGGTGCTGGCCCTGCCGGCGCTGCTCATCACCCTGAGCTGGTTCGTGCTGGCCGCCAGCCTGGTGACGATCGGCAGCGCGCGGCGGGCGGCCGGCGCCGGCCAGGACCCGCTGGTGCTGGCCCAGCTGCTGGGCACGCTGGTGCAGGCGCTGGGCCACGGCGCGGCGCTGTGCTGGGCCGGCCAGCGGCTGGAGGAGGCCGCGCGCCGGCCGGCCGAGCTGCTGCTGCGCGCTGCGCCGGCCGGCGCCTGGGCGGACCAGCTGGTCCGTCTGGTGGAGCTGCTGCGGCCGGCGCTGAGCGTGCCCGGTCTGCTGAACATCAACAGCCGCCTGCTGCTCTCCGTCACGGTCGGCTTCGGCACCTACACCGTGGTACTGCTGCAGATGATATAACTTTAACGGTGGTGTGATGAACTTGCGTCTTCACTATACTGGAAAGTATAATATGGATAAGAACGAGGGCAGTGGGCACAGTGCACATTTTTCCATGTCGGGAGGACAACCGTGCTGACTGGCTGCCAAGTACATATCTTGATATTGATACATATATGTGCTAGGAGTGCTGACATTCCTAGCAGAGGCGCTAGGATCTCGCATCCAGACGAACGCCTTGCTCCAGGCATGGAAAACTTCAGCTCGTGACTGAGGGTGTGGATTTTTTAGTCGATTATTGTTATTATTATTGCTATTATCTTGTTGTTGTTGTTGTCGTTGTTGTTGTTGTTGTTGTTGTTGTTGGATTCGCTCCCGTTCCATCTGTTTAGAATGCTGCGATAGGCCGTAGGCGATAAAAGAGTTATTTGCGCCATATCGTGTAAAGTCCTAAACGTGAGTGTCTTATACTATTTTACTAGTACGGCGCCCTAATCGTGTTTTTATCCTCCATACATTTCAACAGCCGTTAGGCCTAGCGCATTTGCAGAAGTTCTAGCTGCATTATTACACCAAGCGTCAATAAATTCGCATGCTTGAAATATTGAATGTTAGTTGCACCAGGGTCCAGTATGCAAAAAAAAAATGAACGATCCAAGTCATTTTCAGTCTGGTTTTTAGTCGGAATATACCTAACTCACAGCAAGCTGAACCAAACCCAGATTTAGGGTCAAATTGAATATTTAAAAGGTTTAAATAGTTGCGGTCTGCTTCCAGCCTCCAGGTCATATACCTATCACAGTATCACAGTCCAAGAGCTTGCATGGCAGAGCACTTTTCGGATGGACTAGAAGGACTGCGTTGGAGATTCAATCACGGTCCTTAACCAATACACCGTCTTTACCGCTAAAGCGAGTACCTGACACCATGTCCCCCACTGCACGTGGACTGATGTAAGGGCTGTTATTGAAATCCTCACCATTGCTAACGATGACGGCAGCGGCCAACCGCGACACGACGCTTAAACGCTCAAGTGACGACCACACTGGCTGTTCCTCTCGCGTATGTACAGCCCACCGCTAAAGTAATGTGTGGTTTTACCAATCTCAACAGATGGCTTTCACTGGCTATTTTTTAATGCGGAGTGATCGAAAAGAAGACGTCAATAGATGAAGTTGCAGCTGCAAGAGTAACGATGCAGGTTAGCTACATTCAAAGTTTCATTGTGGTCTGGCCAATCATTCCTAAGCTTCAGAAGCAGAACATACCTAGGACTGAAACCGCACATTACTTATGCTGTGGACTGTACATACTACCTGGCTGTGACCCCGACGTAGTGCACTCCGTATTGGGGCTCCCGTTCGGGGGCCTATAGTCCAGGAACTCGACCCCTGCGCGAGAGATGGCTGATAGCAGGGGATCGATTTACGGGGCAATTGTGACCTCAAGGTAGGGTGGTGATCAGATGGCCTGAAGTGAACGTACTCGCGGCCTATTTGAAGGATGTTTTATACAACAAGGTGTTATATAAGGCAGCTTGCGCTTTTGGAGATTCAATGCCATTGTTCAGTCTTGTTTATGATCTTTCCAGCGACCGGTTTGCCAATTGCTCGCATTCAAGCAACAGATGAATGCTTCACTAAACACTTTCACAGGGATCACACATTGACCATCTGACAAATTCGATGTTCACGTCTTGTCACTAGCGAGCAGCGGTCACTAACAGCACTATGTTTACAAGTCAAACGGCATCGGCCCACATGCAATTCAGGACGCGCTGTCCCAGTCATGTCACCGGTATGCTGCCCCGGAACGAGGACTAAAGCGACACTTCTTATTACTTTCTGTAGTGAGCAACTCATGGTTACTTCAAGTCAGCTGCAACCTATAGGTGTTTCAGTACCTATCGTACGTACCTATCTGGTACGTAACCACATAAAATTAAGAAAAATACAGAAAAACTTCAAAAGTGCAATGTCATCTAACACCAGTTTGTTTCTCCAATCCTTGACGAGGTCGGCCACTCTGAATTCCAGGAATGGTGCGCACCATCGTAAATAACGCTGGACGATCGTTCACCAGTGACAGAGAGCGTCAGCGATGGCCGTGATAGGGGCGCTGAAAAGAGGGTGGACGGGAGCCCGACCGGTGCCTGAATGTCAATTGCCGCGGGTCACTGTCGCTAAGGGCCGCAGGCGGTAGCGGCTGCTGCCACCCTGTTCAGATTGTATCGGCGACGAACCAGCGGACGAGTCATGAAGCTCCCGAGTCGCCGAGTCACGCTACTCAGGCGTGATGATGACGTTAAGGTGAAGGACATTCGTCATTCCCGTTTTTTTAGACATAAGATTTTATTTATTTAACCTGACCTGACCTCAAGGGCCCTTTATTTGTAAGTCTCACAACTGAACCTTGCAAATCTTGTGTCACAAAGTGCGCTGAAAACAGCGACATTAGATATTTTTAGATTATGCAAACCTACTGGCTGCTAGCCGTATTGTGAAGCATGCTGCATAGGAATGGTTTTAAATTTCTTAAGTCACTTTTAAGGGTACAACGGGCCACACACTGGGCTTTTCTGTCTTTATTTGTAACACCTTATGCTCAAATGAACTTCAGTGTTAATCATTTAAAACGTAAGAGACAATTGATTCTGACATTGGCTGGCTGCCAGGATTCTTTCAAAAGCATGAGGCAGGATGGGATTTGGAAAACGTGTTCCCGTCTTATTTCAGGCCAGGTCAAGGAAAGGCAAAAAATAAAACCTAAAAGAAATAACATCGAATGCTAAGTTCAGACAGAAAAGGGTTGATTGTTAGGATTTGGCCACGAAAACGGTCTGCACGTTGGTAAGCAAACGATCTACATACGGCGAAAAGATCCTTGCTTTAGACAAGCCATCAGGGCACGATTCTCATGAAGGGCTTGCGCCTCGTCTCTTATGTCAACTATGGAACAGCGTATTAGTTGAGCATTGGCTCGTCTTAAGTTCAGACGATAAGGTTCTTAAAAAGTTCTTCAGCCATCCTGCCAATCGAGAAGTTGTCGAAAACGCCTAAGAATCGGAAATTTTCTAGATTCTTTTTGACACATATTTACAGAAGATCGTCCGTTGTACATACAAACAACGTTGAAAATAAATTGATGCGACCGAACTGATAATTCGAGTTACGCTAGACTTGGAAGTATCGCAAAATTAAATTGTGGAGCTGGCAACACATGCGCTTCCCTGCTAATTGACAAACATTTTCGGAAAACAAGTGTATGCAAGTGACGATATGTGGTGGAGCATTGTGATTTATTGTGAAAAGTAAAAACTCAATTCTCGAATTTCCCTCCGGGTCAACAACACAAAGTTCAAAGTCACCCCATCTGTTCCCATTTGCGCGACCTCACAGTCCGTTGCAATCTTGACATTCTGGAAGTCACCGCGCTCCCCATGACTGAGTGCTCGGACATCACGCCACCGCAGTCGCCAGGCGATGGGCTCAACGTCGTTATAACCTCAACATTGCCCACGTGGTACTGGCATTCCGAGATACAGAGTCAGAGCTCCCTGGGTGGCAAACGAGGTAATTCGACCCTCTCCGCCCCGAGACGGCACGATACTGAGACACGACTCGGATGTGGGGGTTTCACGGGGCGGGGTTCAGGGAAAGGGGCCGAGGGTAGTGGGGGGGGGGCAGGGATCAGTCGCGTGCTTGGCAATGACAGTGTCGCCTGGCGTCACTTGACACGGCTGCGTCTGGTGTCAGAGTGGCGGTTTCTGATTGGTGGAGAGCGGGGGCCGGTCCGTAGGGGGCGGGGCGTGTAGTTTAGTCGCGTGGCGGCCCTACGGCCCCCGAGGCTCACTCGCGGGGACGGCAGTCTCGGGAGCGGCAGCGGTCCCAGTCGCTGGCTCGACTGAGAGGACTAATCCGCGCCAGAGTCCGACCCCAGCCCCAACATGGTCCAGCCCCGCGACGCAGAGGTCGGCGAGCCGTGCCTGTCGCGGGCCCTCTCCAATGGCGACACGAACGGCAGCCAGGAGCAGGACGAGCGAGAGCCCTCGCCGGTCCCTCCGGAGGGTGAGGGAGGTCCGCGCATGGGGCGTCGGCCGTCCAACTCGCGCATGCAGCTCCGCTGGCAGCTCAGTCGGCAGGTCAGTCTGGGGTCGTCTTGGGTCCGCCGCGCACCGCAGCGTGTCCTGCGCCAGGTGCAGCGAACCATCGACCTTCGTGTCGTTGAAAATATTGCTAGATAAAAATAATAATAAAAATGTTCGTCGTCAATTTATCACTGAGTCATGGTGGAAGATTTTCCAACTAAAAGGATCTTGATCTAGGGCGAATTGATCCTCAGTAAAATGCATGCTTTTTGCTGGACGTTGTACTAGAATACTAGACTCCTAGTCGTAGATAGACTGACTGCCTTACCCCGTTTATAAACTGATAATTGCAAGTCTTCACGAAGAAGTATGGTACCATGAGCAGGATCTTCAGACCCACCTGCACAAAATCATGACTCCCTATTTTTAGCTAGTGATAAGCGATTGGATGCTTTTTATGTTTAGTTTAGAAGAAATAAGTGATGAAAAATAGGCATTTCATTATGCCTACTCCTGCGGTCAAAAGCTGGATAAATGTCAAACAAAGCTCGCTGTTTAGAATTTCTATTTAAAAGAGACTCAAATATCATCCGGTTTGCTCCCATTTTCGGATAGCATGAATGACAGAAAGGTGCCAATTGAAGTTTTTCATTCACATTGAAATGACGATATATCTGTAATGACCAAAAGCAAGAAAAAGAAATGCTCACATAGCCTGTAAAAAAGGTTTTCTTGAGACGGCCATGAATGAGTGTGCGTGTAATCCCTTGCATGCGTGCCGATCCATGGGTGCACTGCGCAGGGTCGTATGCTTCGGTTCGTCCTGCTTTTTCGGAAGATGCAAGTCCGCTAGCAAAGCCAAACGGAGACGCTACGTTACGGGCTTGTCTTTTTAACGACTGAAATGCCAACAACGGAAATCAAATCTATCGAGCTGAAGGGTTTCAGTCAGACAATTAAGTCACCGACTAGCATCGACAGTAGTCTCTTCTACGTAAAGTTTTGAAACGGCCATGACGTTTTAAGCATTGAAAGTTGATGAGATTGGTTTGAGATATCGGTGACTTATTAAGCTTTAGATAAAAACACGGCATATAGACAAGAGCGCGTCCTTACTTTTAGAAGACCTTCTAAGTAACCGACTAAACTAAGCATAAAACATCCGCAGTCCGCATGAGCATTACTGTAGGTGGGTCTTGTAAAGACGATTTCAGTTTTGCCAGGATAAATAAAGTAAATAATGTTAAAAGCAAAATCACTGGAATAAATGCCAGAAAATATAGCTAAGAGGGTTGCAGTCGTTTGAACATATAAGATTTCCGATATCAGGTAACATTTTTCCCTCAGGAAGTTAAGCAATATTTAAAAATAATATTTTGGGGCAGCGATAAAATGCACCACCGATTTCGTAATGTACAATGTACATACATATAAACAAAAATGAAGAAAATACGGTCGCTACAACCCTAAAAACAACGTAGTTCTAGCTAACATTTTTAACTGCTTACGAATGATATAAAGCTATCTGCACTCTGCAGTAAGAAAATTTGGCATTGTCGCGGATAAAATTCGCATGAAATACGAGAAGCTCCTGAAAGTCAGATACATTATGATGGTGACCTGCACGGCTGTCTAATGGCTTATTACGAGTTCCTCTGGCCTGCTGATGATCAATTTCACTTTGCGTTGTCGACCGCTGGCAGTCGCGTGTTGCACCATACACCTTTGTCCGCAGGCTGGGGAGCTCCCAGTGGCTGGGTGCGTGGACATTCCACACATATCGGTATGTATGCACGCTCCTGCCAGTCATGCTCCAAAGACGCGGTAGGTTAAATCGTGACCCCACCGTTACACGTCTAACATTTAATTTTTCAGCATGTTCGCGTTTTTGCTCGAGCACTCGAAAACACTTCAAAACAAACTATATTACAGAAAATGAGCGTAGAATTGACAAAAAATGTTTTGCTTGATGCCTAGATTATAATGAAGATCTTTTTTGTAACGTTTCAGTCCAAATTGTAGTGAATGAATCTACATATAAACGAGACAACTTTAGGACTGAGCGGTATAATCCGGGAAAATAAAATTTGCCTCGAAGGCAAAACACTTAAATTACGGATGATTGTTCACCTAATCTCTTAGGTAGGCGTATGACCTACGAAAAAATATCAAAGACTATCAGCCGTTTATTTCCGGAAAAGGATGTAATTTGAAATGTTCCATGAATAAAAACAAACAACAATTCGCATCAAAACCGGATATTATTTTGCATTCATGATGAGCTACGTTGTTGGAATTTTTTAAAAGGCATTAAATCAAGCGAAAGTTAAAAATGTAACAAAGCTGTTTGGTTTTTGAAAATGCTTGTGGAAGGACTTTGTGGCATGCTTATAAGTGTATCATGCATGCTTTGTGTATGAGTGGATGTCCGCCCAACAAACGCAATTGAAAATGTGATTCTGAGCTTTTTGACACAATGTCAATGCTTTCACTCTTCCCAACAAAGAATGCACATACCCTCAACAGCTTTCTTAGGAAATGTGGTGATGGTCTTATATCAAATAATTGTTTTGACTCCGCTTTGTTAGCTGTCTGTTTCACCTCGGTTGAGCTTACATATATATACCTACCAGTAAAACGCCTTTTGGGCGACCAACGGAGCGAGCGAGAGGATGGGCCTTGCACGTGCGAAATTGCGAGGGGGTACCTCCAACTAACTTGTGCACTGCACCCTACTAATCGGTCTTTAGCGATGTGCCAAATTTCAGCGCAATCGGCCTAGCCGTTCTCGAGATCTGGAAGCGGCACACTGCACGTGCGCACGTGCAAGCGGGGTCCAAACTGACTTTTGCACGGCACCCTACTAACTGGTCCCCAACCGTGTACCAAATTTGAGCGCAATCGGCCAGGCCGTTCTCGAGATCTGGGAGCGCCCCTTGCACGTGCGCACGTGCTGTAGCACCCCAACCTTAACACATGCAGATGAATTATCTGATGGAGACCTAACTGTGTACCGAGTTTCAATTCAATCGGCCCAACCGTTGTGCCGTTATTGAGGTTGCAATTTTGGGGGTTCTTAAAAAATGTCCAACTTTACCACGCGCCACGTGCGGTAGTTGGCAAGAACGCATGGTGGCCATCACACCACATAACTTTTACGTCCAAGTGACATTCAGTAAAGAAGACCGCTTGTCAATCGGATGTCCCGTTCCGAAGATATTAGCTTTTGAAGAGCGTCCCCACGGCCGGCCGGCCGGCCGGCCGCTCATACTCAGGATTTTCCCTTAATTCAGTATGAGACTCCGCTCGCTTCGCTCGCTCCGTAATTAACCGCGCCCCACCTGCGTATAACGCGCCCTACAGGGGGGGGGGCTATTCATAGCCCCCTCCCTCTGAAACTGGGGCATTCCACGATAGATCGACCAAAAAAAAACTTAAAATTTACACCCGCATATTTTATTTTTTGCTTAAAATTGGTCTAATGGGTTGTGATGGGCGGGTAACCCAGCTGTGGCAAGGATTTTTTTCTTCGAACAACGGTTTCCGAGATATAGCCTCGGGCAGTTCCTGGAGGTCACGCTGCAACCCTATGTTTGGCGGCTTATAACTCAGAAACTATTGGTTTTCTATGGTAAAAACTTGATATGGTTCAACTTGCAATCAACCAGCAAACGTTTTGGCTATCTCGGATTTTCGATTTTTGAAAATTTTGATCACGTGACATCTTGATCTTTTTTTCGAAGAGTGACCTTGATATTTTCCCAACTGAAAGTCGCAATTTTGTCTGATGACGATTAAAGCCTTATCAATTGTCATTCATATGCGATAATAAAAAATGTGGCTTTCGGCCTGCGTTGACCTCAGGTCAGGTCATTTTTATGACCTTCCCATTATTACGAGCGGGAGCGACAGCGAGATCTCGAGAACAAAGCAAGATAGCGACAAGCGGTGAACGGCGTAGGGTACACATGGATAAGGTCTACAATTTTTACTCAGGTCATTTTCAGGTCAGGTCAAAGATGACGTCACAGGGGTAAAAAGAAAGTCTAAATGGCGGCACTACATATATATGAAGTTTTTCTCGAATAACTTTCGAAGTATCCCAGCTAGGAACAAACTAATAGCACCATCGTGATCCTCTCGTCGATCCGCATCGAAACATGTGTATGTTGACCTCGAAAGGTCAAGGTCAAAAGTTGACCTTAGGTCACGTGACCTTAAGGTCATCATATATATCATTCGATGGGCCTTGACGAGCTGAACACAATGAGCCTATCCGTGCGGCTGCATCTCAAACCTGTAAGGAGTTATTAGCAAAAAAAACATTTGGTGACCTTTAATGACGTCACATGATCCAAGAGCAACGTCACAGTTGACCAAGAGCAAAAAAATGTCTCAAGGTAGTCAAAGTTAGTCGCATATGGAGTCACTCATGGTATATCAGGCAATTCCGACGCGTTTTAGTGTAAAAATAAGGGAGCTGATTTTTCCCCAATTGACTTATAATAGGGTGAAAAGAAATTGACCTGACCTCAGGTCATCGGTATCGAAATTCAAAACGAACTGGCGCTAGGCGAAAGCAAACGGATTGGTGCCTATTCTACGTCTCTTTCTTTATTAGATCAAAAGGTACAGCCAAAACTATTTTAACTTCCTTTTTACCCCTGTGACGTCATCTTTGACCTGACCTGAAAATGACCTCAGTAAAAATTGTAGACCTTATCCGTGTGAATCCTGTATCGTTTACCACTTGTCGCTATCTTGCTTTAGTCTCGAGATCTCGCTGTCGCTCCCGCTCGTAATAATGGACAGGTCATAAAAATGACCATCTCAGGTCAATGCAGGCCGAAAGCCACTTTTTTATTGTCGCATATGAATGACAATTGATAAGGCTTTAATCGTCATCAGACAAAATTGCGACTTTCAGTTGGGAAAATATCAAGGTCACTCTTCGAAAAAAAGATCAAGATGTCACGTGATCAAAATTTTCAAAAATCGAAAATCCGAGATAGCCAAAACGCTTGCTGGTTGATTGCGAGTTGAACCGTATAAAG